GGGGGGAGGGTCTGGCGCTGGGGGGCGGGGGGCTTTGTGGGTCGGGATCTGTGGGGCTGGAGGGGGGGGGGCTGGATCTGTGGGGCTCCTACCCCCATAGTTTTGCCCTCAAGAAGAAGCTCTTGTCCAACTTGAAGCCTCTTTGGAAGGGTGGGGGCTTTATTTATTATTTATTATTTATTATTTATTATTTATTATTTATTTTAATGTAAAAAAATTAATAAAAATTCCATATTTTTCCTTTTTTACCCTAATTTTTCCTTTTTTGCTAGGGCAAGTTTGAATTTGTCAACGATGTGGCCTCTTTGAAGGACCTCCAGAGCGAGCAGGAGATCCAGAGGTTCAAGAACGAGAGCTTGGGGATGGCCGTGCTCCACCTCTCGCACGTGGCCATCAAGAAGGGCATCTCCCTGGAGGAAGTGGCCAGAAGATACAGGTGACCAAGTGGCCACGGGGATGGGGCCAGTGACGTGGATGGAGAAGTGGCCCAAGGGCAGAGCTTGGAGGGATGGGATTGGTGGTGCAAGGGGGGTTGATGGTGGAGATGGAGATGATGGGAGATGGAGGTGGAGATGAGGTGGGAGATGGAGGTGGAGATGAGGTGGGAGATGGAGGTGGAGATGAGGTGGGAGATGGAGGTGGAGATGAGGTGGGAGATGGAGGTGGAGATGAGGTGGGAGATGGAGGTGGAGATGAGGTGGGAGATGGAGGTGGAGATGGAGGTAGATGGAGATGGGAGACGGAGGTGGAGATGGAGATGATGGGAGATGGAGGTGGAGATTGGAGGTGGAGATGGGAGATGGAGGTGGGTAGAGATGGGAGATTGGAGGTGGAGATGGAGGTGGAGATGGAGGTAGATGGAGACGGGAGGTGGAGATGGGAGATGGAGGTGGAGATGAGGTGGGAGATGGAGGTGGAGATGGAGGTAGATGGAGATGGGAGACGGAGGTGGAGATGGAGATGATGGGAGATGGAGGTGAAGATGGGAGATGGAGGTGGAGCTGGAGATTGGAGATGGGAGAGGGAGGTGGAGATGGAGGTAGATGGAGATGGGAGATGGAGATGGGAGATGGAGATGGAGATGGAGGGAGATGGAGATGGAGGTAGATGGAGATGGGAGATGGAGGTAGATGGAGATGGGAGATGGAGGTGGATGGAGATGGGAGGTGGAGATGGAGGTGGAGATGGAGATGATGGGAGATGGAGGTGGAGATGGAGATGATGGAAGTGGAGATGAAGATGAAGGGAGATAGAGATGGGAGATGGAGGTGGAGATGGAAATGGGAGATGGAGGTGGAGATGGAGATGATGGGAGATGGAGATGGAGATGGAGATGGAGGTGTAGAGCTGGGCTGCTGCCATGGGCGCCCGGCAGGTTCCTACTGACGGGGGGTTATTCCTTCCCTCCCCAGCTTCAAGGACTGTATCCCGAGGTCCTTCTACCGCCAGATCCAGCAGAACAACTACCTGACCAGGTTCCGCATGAAGAACGTCTTCAAGAAGTTCGTGCGGCATTTCCAGCGCCACACGGTGGGCGCGGGGAAGCTGACGGCCCAGGACGTCATGTACAAATATCTGGCCACCTTGGAGCACCTCGCCCCTCGTTTTGGGACCGAGTTCTTCCCCGTCCTCTCCTTGGAAACCTCTTCTGAAGGGGAGAAGGTGCACCTCTACGTCAACGGAGGACATTCCCAACCGGAACCCGGGCACCCGTTGCTCCCCAAGGACCCTCCTGTCACCCATGAAGTCTTGGTCAACGGCACCAGTGGGATCCAGTGGCGACCAGTGCCCGTAGAGGTAGATCTGTGCTCTCCAACTGGGTTGGAAGAGCCATCTCCATCCAAATCCCACCCCACGCGTGGTCCTGGGCTATTCCTTGCTCTTTTTGAGGACACCCACTCTTCCTTCCCAGTTTGGACCAGTAACCACCTCAACCTTCCCAGTGGTTGATGTCTTTATGTCCTCCCCACCTCTCTCTCAGCAGAACGTGGAGAACGTCTCCCACCGGGGATATTTTGGGAGGAAGAGCAGAAACAAAGAGCTGGAGCTCAAGGGGCCACCTCCCCCGGGGGAACGAAACGAGGCGAAATGGGTCCATTTCTGCGATTTTCGGGAGATCACGCACATCGTCGTCAAGGACTGTCGGGTCAGCATCAACCGGCAGGACAACAAGTGCCTGGTGAGTGGGACGTGGTCCTTCCACGTTGGGAGCCCCTCGTTGAGCTTCAGAACCCGGGAGAAGGGAGAGCTGGGAAGAAAAAAGATGGGTTTTGGGGTTAATTCCAGCGAAAAAGGGTTTTACCTTCTTCTCGTTGGAGAAGAGAAGAGAGAAGGGTCTGTCCAAGAAAGGCAAGGAAGGGGGTGAAGGGTCTGGAGACCAAGGAGAGGGGTCTGGAGCCCAGGAAGGGTGTGGAAACCAAAGAGAAGGGTCTGGAGACTAAGGAGAGGGGTCTGGAGCCCAAGGAGAAGGGTCTGGAGCCCAAGGAGAAGGGTCTGGAGACCAAGGAGAGGGGTCTGGAGGTGGAAGAGGAGGGTCTGGAGCCCAAGGAGAAGGGTCTGAAGCCCAAGGAGAGGGATCTGGAGCCCAAGGAGAAGGGTCTGGAGCTCAAGAAGGGTCTGGAGCCCAAGGAGATGGGTCTGGAGATGGAAGAGGGGGGTCTGGATCCCAAAGAGAAGGGTCTGGAGCCCAAGGAGAGGGATCTGGAGTTCAAGGAGAAGGGTCTGGAGCCCAAGGAGAAGGGTCTGGAGCCCGAGGAGAGGGGTCTGGAGCCCAAGGAGAAGGGTCTGGAGCCCAAGGAGAAGGGTCTGGAGATGGAAGAGGGGGGTCTGGAGCCCAAGGAGAAGGGTCTGGAGCCCAAAGAGAAGGGTCTGGAGCCCAAGAAGGGTGTGGAGCCCAAGGAGAAGGATCTGGAGATGGAAGAGGAGGGTCTGGAGCCCAAGGAGAAGGGTCTGGAGCCCAAAGAGAAGGGTCTGGAGCCCAAAGAGAAGGGTCTGGAGCCCAAAGAGAAGGGTCTGGAGCCCAAAGAGAAGGGTCTGGAGCCCAAAGAGAAGGGTCTGGAGCCCAAAGAGAAGGGTCTGGAGCCCAAAGAGAAGGGTCTGGAGCCCAAAGAGAAGGGTCTGGAGCCCAAAGAGAAGGGTCTGGAGCCCAAAGAGAAGGGTCTGGAGCCCAAAGAGAAGGGTCTGGAGCCCAAAGAGAAGGGTCTGGAGCCCAAAGAGAAGGGTCTGGAGCCCAAAGAGAAGGGTCTGGAGCCCAAAGAGAAGGGTCTGGAGCCCAAAGAGAAGGGTCTGGAGCCCAAAGAGAAGGGTCTGGAGCCCAAAGAGAAGGGTCTGGAGCCCAAAGAGAAGGGTCTGGAGCCCAAAGAGAAGGGTCTGGAGCCCAAGGAGAGGATCTGGAGAACTTCTGAGGGAGCTGTGTTGGTTCAGCCTGGAGAAGAGGGGGCTGAGGAGGGACCTTCTCGCTCTCTCCAACTCCCCGGAAGGAGGTTGGATGGAGGGAGGGTGAGTCTCTTCTCCCCAGTAACGAGGAAACAACCTCAGGTTGCACCAGGGGGAGGTTTAGGATGGATTTTAGGAGCAATTCCTTCATGGAAAGGGTTGTGTTGGGAAGAGACTTCCCCGGGGAAGCAGTGGTGGGATTTCAAAGCCGTGAGGATGAGTCCATTCAGTGGTGGCTTTGGGGACTCCACAATCTTCAAGATCTTTCCCAACCTTGCTGGGTGGCTTCAGGGCTGGTTCCTCACCCCTTCTTTCTCCTCTTCTTCTCTCTCCAGGAGGTTCTTCTCCCTTCTCCAGAGAGCGCCTTGGCCTTGGTCTCCTTGGTGGACGGGTATTTCCGCCTCACGGCCGATTCCAGCCACTACTTGTGTCACCAAGTGGCTCCTCCTCGGCTCCTCGTGAGCATCTTGAACGGCATCCACGGGCCCATGCAGTGAGTTTTGGGGGGGCTGGTGGGGTGGGGGGGTCACCCAATAATTTCTTACCCTCCAAAGTAATAATTTCTTACCCTCCAAATTAATAATTTCTCACCCTCGAAATGATTCCATCAATAATTCCATCAATTCCATCAATTATTCCATCAATTATTCCATCGCCCCCCGACCTTCTCAAATTGAGGGAAAACCAAGGGGGTTGAAATAGGAAGAGGTTTAACGAAGAGAAGACTAAATAATTAACATGAATAGGAATAATAATTTAAAAAAAATGTTAATATTGATCCCATAAGATATAAAATAAGAGAGGATTGTCCTTCAGCCCCCAATTTCTCAGGAGGAAGCTCCCGGTGAAGGTGGGACCTTGGACCTTGGGAGGTCCGGCAATGGAGTGAGGAGTTCTCAGGATGGCAGGAAATCAAAGAAAACTCCTGGGGGAGTTTTTTCTAATTTCTAGAAAATTGCCTTTTCGGGTGTGAAATAACCCGGGCTTGCTCTTCCTCCTCCTCCTCTTCCTCCTCTTCCTTCCCCATCCCTGGGGAGCTCCAAAACGCCGAGACCATGGAAAGGGACTGGTGGAGGACGTTAAGATGGGGGGCAACCTTGTTTGCAGCACCCATGGAAAGGGACCGGTGGAGGACATGAAGGCTGGAGGGCAACCTTGGTTGCACCACCATGGAAAGGGACTGGTGGAGGACATGAAGATGGGGGGCAACCTTGGTTGCACCACCCACAGAAAAATACGGGCAAACCAAGAAGTAGGACTGAAAAGCTTGGATTTCAGGAGGGCTTTTCAAACCTTCTCAAGAAGCTGTTGGAAGAAGTCCCATGGGAGAAGGGTCTGGAAGGTTGGGGGGAGCTCAGGAGAGTTGGTCCTTCTCAAGAAGCTGCTGGAAGAAATCCCATGGGATAAGGCTCTGGAAGGTTAAAAAAAATGTTAATATTGATCCCATAAGATATAAAATAAGAGAGGATTGTCCTTCAGCCCCCAATTTCTCAGGAGGAAGCTCCCGGTGAAGGTGGGACCTTGGACCTTGGGAGGTCCGGCAATGGAGTGAGGAGTTCTCAGGATGGCAGGAAATCAAAGAAAACTCCTGGGGGAGTTTTTTCTAATTTCTAGAAAATTGCCTTTTCGGGTGTGAAATAACCCGGGCTTGCTCTTCCTCCTCCTCCTCTTCCTCCTCTTCCTTCCCCATCCCTGGGGAGCTCCAAAACGCCGAGACCATGGAAAGGGACTGGTGGAGGACGTTAAGATGGGGGGCAACCTTGTTTGCAGCACCCATGGAAAGGGACCGGTGGAGGACATGAAGGCTGGAGGGCAACCTTGGTTGCACCACCATGGAAAGGGACTGGTGGAGGACATGAAGATGGGGGGCAACCTTGGTTGCACCACCCACAGAAAAATACGGGCAAACCAAGAAGTAGGACTGAAAAGCTTGGATTTCAGGAGGGCTTTTCAAACCTTCTCAAGAAGCTGTTGGAAGAAGTCCCATGGGAGAAGGGTCTGGAAGGTTGGGGGGAGCTCAGGAGAGTTGGTCCATATTCAAACATCTCTGGATCTCCCTGAGAGCAAGAAAACAGGGAAGGGAAGGAGGGAAGTGGTGGAAGATGGAGCTTCTGAAGCTCTGGGATTCTTCTGCTTCCAGGGAAGAGTTCGTTTTCGCCAAGCTCCGACGGGAGGAGGAGGAGGAAGGTCTCTACATCCTCCGCTGGAGCGCCCTTGACTTCAACAGGATGATCCTCTCCGTGGTGAAGAGGAGCCACCAGCAGGTAAAGGTGCAATTCCCAGTAGGACGTTCCCTGGAGGAGCACTGGGAGGAGCTGGTTTGGGGAGGAAGGAGCTGGGTTGAGGTTTTTTTGGGGGGGGCTACCAGGTTTGTCCTGAGTCTTCTCAGAGAGTGGTGGGGAATGGAGTTAAATCCAGCTGGTGTCCAGTCACCAGTGGTGTCCCACAGGGCTCAGTAACTGGGACCAGTTCTCTTGAACATCTTTATCAATGATCTGGACGAGGGGATCGAGTGCACCCTCAGTAAGTTGGCAGAGGACCCCAAATTGGGTGGGAGTGTTGATCTGCTGGAGGGTAGAGAGGCCTTGCAGAGAGATCTGGACAGGCTGGATGGATGGGCCCAGACCAATGGGATGAGGTTCAACAAGGCCAAGTGCCAAGTCCTGCACTTGGGTCCCACCAACCCCCTGCAGCTCCAGGCTGGGGGCAGAGGGGCTGGAGCTGCCCCATGGAAAAGGACCTGGGTGTTTTGGTGGCCTGTGGGCTGAACAGGAGCCAGCAGTGTGCCCAGGTGGCCAAGAAGGCCACCAGCATCCTGGCCTGTGCGAGTAGGCCCCGAGAGGTGATTGTCCCCCTGGACTGGGCACTGGTGAGGCCTCACCTCGAGGCCTGTGGCACTGGTGAGGCCTCACCTTGAGTACTGTGTCCAGTTTTGGGCCCCC